GACTTGCTCGTGGCTGCGGCCGCGGCTGCACCTGGCAAGGTGGGGCAGGGAGCATAGCAGCAATTCCAAGCAACGTCATAGCAACGATAACCACAGAAATGCCCAACTCAAGAGTAAATGATTGGTCGACGTAGCAATGGACAGATCAACCTTCAGCAAACGCCAAGCGACGAATCATCGTTCAAGGGTCATGCTTTAAATTTTAAGTTTTAAATCGTATCATTAATGCACGTCTAGTTTATAAGGAATACACCCAGCGCTACGGAGGTTTGGGGTGCCTTACTGTTGCGGTTTAGCCCTTGGTTCGAGGCTTCGCTTCCAGGTTAGCCTCGCAATCCCTAGCCGGTTGAGGATTCTTGCTTTGAAAAGGCTCCGTCTAGGTTCAAGCAGTTCTCACACCACGAACCTATGCTGGCTCATCCTCCGCATGGAGAGCTTCTCGCGGACGCCATTGCTTACCGTAATCTTGACGTAACGTGGCATACAGCCAGCAGGCTGAAAGCAACCAACACCTCATCAGACAGCGGTTTGAACCCGGGGGACCCGAACCTGAAAATTCGCAACAGTTCCTGAAACCCCGACGCTCAGCCTTAGTGTTCGACCCCTGCGTGCTTGCCTGAGGCAATGGGAGTCCAACAGTCCCTACAGGGGCAGGCCTGTAATCATAATAACAATACATAATATTAAACTAATAGTAATAATACTAGTAATAATCATAAGAGGTATAACAATAATGGAAACAAGACAAATGAACATTAATAGTAACAGTAACCATATATAATAAAAGTCGTCGTGGTACTAGTGGCATAAGCAGTAGACAGAATAGTAATCGTAACAGTAATAAACTACTACGAAGATTTTTTACGCAGAAGTCGAAAGGCACTAGTATTGACAATAATGGAAATAAGAAGCACATAAGAGTAATAAGAAGCGGCTGTAGCATTGTAAGAGTAACAGTAGTATTACGAAGACAAAATAATGTCGGGGAAGATGAGCAGTTTCGGGTCTTATTGCGGAGTCTACGGTTTTCCTATTCGGCATAAGCGGTAGGTCTTGCTGGGGGTGCAGGCTTCTCTCGCATCCGCAGTGTTTCTTAGAGTTGGGGGGCAATAACGGAGACCCCTGATGAATACAGCCATCTGCCCCTGGCATGAGGATGCGTATGATCATCCTTACAGAGAGAGGGCCCACGGGTTGTTGCTTCAGTCTGATGATGGGCCGACCTGAGGGCATTGTAGGAATTTGTCCAGCAATACCAGTTCTCCAGCACCCAACCTTGAGAAGTCCTGCCTGCTTACAGGTCTAATCAGCAATAATGTTGCATTCGTTTCAGAAGATCTGTTCTGTTGTTTCGTTGGGTGCTTGGCGAAGGAAAGTTTAGTAGGGTTGAGACCCCAATCTGCCACAATCCTTCCACGACATGTTCAACAACAGTATTCCTTAGTTGAGGAGTTTGAAGCCACTGAAGTTTTGGGTGTAAGGAGTTGCGGTTGACAGTTTGGGGTTTGGAAACGGAGTTTAGCCTTTAGTCAAGGTTGTAGGATTTATGATTTGATTGGGCGTTCTTGGGATTTAGGGTTTAGGGTTTACCGGGGCTGAACCTGAATTCTCGTTATGTGCTGCCTCCCCAAAGTGGCTGGGTAGACACCCGAACACAACAGCCCTAAAACAAGGCTCTCTAACCGAGAATATGATCGGGGCTATCCTTTACAGCAGCGAGGTTGCAGTTTTAGCATGTCAATCCTTCCTCTGCTCCCCCGACCCTTCAGAACTCCAGTAAGAAGCCACAGCGACTCAATCCTCAAGCTTGAAATCGGGTATCCCAATCAAGCCAATCCCCCAGGCCCGAAATCCAAGTTCAGCCGCATAAGCGTAGAACCCGACATCCTCAACCTCTCGGAACCTCAAGCCCTGCGCTGTTACCCCCTCGCCTCTCGACGCCTTTACAGGAGATTCCTATCAACATCCTAGGAACCCGAACAGAATGCTTCACACCCTCGAGGAACCCTTCAACCCCAAATCTTCTTTCCTTTGGTTCTTTGCGAGGCGGCTCAAGGTGCGTTCAGTCCGAAGGCCTCGCTTTTTGTCATGGGGCAGGGCTCAACAGGGGGCTTTCTGTTTAGGGCATTTAGGATTTCTTATCTATGGTACTATAAGGGGTTGCGTTGTAGCTTTAGGGTTTGGGGGTCTGATTAAGGGTTTAGGCGTCTCAAGGGGTTTGCGAGTGTATCGTTCGAGCGAGGACAAGGGGCGAAGCCAGTGGCTTTAATGGCACACTCTGCTTCGAGCTGATCTTGTTTGGGTTTGTTTCACGGCTTTCTACATCGGCGGTTGCTGTTTGAGGTACGTAGCTGCCTTGGTGCCGGTTCTGTTGGGCCGGAAACCCTGAACCCTGAACTTGAAAGCCTAGGGTTTAGAGTAACCTTCAAGGTTTTCAATGGCCCGGACCTGCTTGGGTTAAGCTTTATGATTGTGCCCCAGTTGATGAATGCAGAATATTCCAACACACCACTCGTGTATCACGCGTGACCGTCTCCCCGGTGTTACGAGACTGTGCTAACGGGTTTCGGGCTGCTGCTTTCAGTGAACACACCATGCTGTGGAAACAGCTCAAATAATGAACCCTGAACCTAGAGGGGGCAGCTCGCTTCAATGGAGATGTCGACGAAGAAGGTCTTCACAGCCACATCAAACCCCTCAAGCCCCACACCCGAATGTCGGAGGTGGGGCTTGGGCTTTTCTGGCAGTCGTTCTCTATGGAAAAGATGGTGCAAGGGCAGTAGCCCAATCACAAGGGCATGTTTATGCAAGCAGCCGAATAATTACTCGACAGTATTGTTCTTTGGGTTCCGTATTTAAGTACTTATGCGGCGAAAGTGGACCCCTGCAAAGCCCGATGAGCACAACAATTCAATGCCTCCAAGCTGGTAGATCTTGAGTCAAAGGGTGAGCCTTGCAACAACAAAAGAACTTAGACTTTGTAGGTGATGGTTTCAAGCACGAAGTTCGTAGTCTACAAGCCCCGGTCGAACCTCCTCCCCGGCGTCTTGTGAGGAGCTCTACAACCTCAAGCAGGCGTTCGCTTGCTGTTTCTTCTATAGCATTTGTACAATTAGTACAAGTGCTAGTACAAAGTACCAGTACAAGTTTACTAGTACTAATACCAGTACTAGTACTTGCACTAGCACGAGTACTAGCACTAGTAAAATGAGCACCAGTACTCCTCCGCCTCCTAGTACTACTACTTCGACGACTACTGCTGCTGCTGCTTCTTCTTCGCCTACTGCTACTGCCAAGGCCGCTGTTACTGCTACTGCTACTGCTACCCTTGCTAGGTTCCTTCGACGATCGGGACGTATGTTAGGAGGCACCGGAGGATGAGAATGAGGAGATTTTGGTACAGCTACGAATATACGCTTCATAGCGATGGTTGTTGTTGCTTCATGTCTCGTTGTCGTTTCCACACATCATTGATTGCCCTTCTACAGTCTCAACAGTTGCTGTAGCGGCTGTAACAGCAGGTGCCCAAGCGACCAAGAGCAGCAAGCAGCACCGGTAGAGATAGTACTGGGTTAGCATGTGGATTTGCAACAATCGGCACGCAGCATCAGCAGTTGCAGCCATAGTCGTCCTTTAGTGTCAGTGCTACTGGTGCAGCCCATGTAGGTTTGGTGAAGTGAGGCCCTCGCACCTTCTCGGGTGTCGGAATCGTAGGGGTGCTTTTCTACCTGCCTGCATCCTTCTGGGATATAGTATAAGCAGTGTAGATATTGACGAGAGTTTTCTTGGACAGAAGAGGGTTTGTAAAGATCCTCCTGTAGATATAGATGCAGCTTTGGTTTAGATTTTGGTATAGTACTAGCTACGAGTTACTAGTACAGTATAGTACAGACTAGTAAGGTATAAACGCTGAGAGACTACGGGTAAAGAAATGCCGCAAAGGGAAGCCGAAGCTTCAAGAACCCCTGAAGCCCGGAGCCCGAAACTCCCAAACCAACCCCAAAACCCTATAAGAAGCAACGGACACACTGGGGGAACACTGTTCCCGGGCTTCTTGTAGGGGAAATACATGTCTCCCAATAAGTTTAGTGCCTAAGCCAAGCTTTGGAGGTCTATTTCTACCTCTGCCTGCACACGACAACATTGACATCCTGTCCGCTTGACAGGACACTGGGATCAAACGGCTGAGTCACAAATAAGTTATGGGGAGGATTGAGGGTTCAAGGTCTACCGAGAACCCGAAGCCACTGCTCGTTTTGTGGGTGTCACACCCAGACAACCTTCTAACGTGCCCGGAAGAAAGTGGGCATTGGGACCCCTAGCAACGGCTTGGGGTGTTAGGAGCTTCGAAGTTAGATTTGTGTTGACGAGGCTCAAGGGTTTAGGATTCACCTGTCTTCTGTAGGGCCTAAATCCGGAACCGGTGGCTCCAGGAATCAGTTTCACTCCCTCTTCGCGAACCATCGGCAGTACAAGGCGCAGTCGCCCAAGTTCTCCGAGGAAGCCGAAGCCAAATGCGGGCTTAGCAATGGAGCTCCAGTTCAGTGCGCACCATGCGGCTCACGTAGGGGATCCCAACAACCCCAAGCATCTTGAACGTCGCATTGGGCGGATTCCTGTTCCTGCACTCAAGTTTGAGCTTAAGGACGTTTGGAAATTTAGGGCCTCGACGGCTTCAGGGGCTTTTGAGAGGCGTAGACCGTAGACCCAAGTTTAGACTTATTTAGGGCTTATTCCAACAACACTTGACACGTTTGACTTGGGGATTAATCAACGTCGTGATCTTTACTGGGCTTCGGTGTCCACATTTTACAGTTTGGGGCTTCCGGGCTTCGGATCCGCAGGTTTGGGGCTGCCCTGGTTCGGACTTAGAAGTACGCTACGCCACAAAGGGCAAAACCTCAAATGTTGAAACCCAAGCCAGGTATCCCTGAAAGCCCAGGTGCCTGTAAACAATCGCTTACTGTTCCTCACACAGAGTTTCCTGGGCTCCGTCGGGTATGCTCCGAGCTTGCCAGCCCCTATGGCGCGCCCTCTTCTCCGCTATCGACTTCAATGGTGACAACATCATCGATTTCGAGGCCGTTCGGCTTCTGTTGTGGAGTATTGCTGTTTATGGAGGGTTCAGAGGTCCGGGTTCGGTTCGTATGAGGACGGGCATAAAGTCTGCTGCCAAGGAAACGCCAACAGTGCAAAACACCTTTGATGTTCCAGTTTGTGCTTGAGCATCCAACTTGAGCTACTGTAGGACGATTATGGATTGGGAAGCCATGCGAAGCCATGGAACACAGCAAGCAGTGCACACGGCATCCTTCTACTGGCTACAGGTCGGAGTTCAAGGTATTCGGAGTCGGGTTTGGTTTAGCCCGGCCAGGACGGAGCGAGGATCTTGGATGGAATCAATCGTGTTTTGGGTCTTTGAGACCAGACCAGCCAAGATCCATTCCAAGTCTTTGGGCCAGCCAAGATCCATCCCAAAATCTGAAATTCAATCGTGTTTCGGGCCTGTGGGGCCATCCAAGATCCATCCCAAAATCTGAAATCGCTTCGGGCCGCCGTTCGGGAGTAGTTTCAGTGCTGAGTGGCACATGTGGGGCATTAAATCAATCAGAAAATGGCATCACGGGGAATTTCAGTGCGGTGAGAAAGCCTGTATGAAGAGCGGTATGCGGCTGGAGTTTTGAGAAGTATGGTTGGTGCTGGGTCCAGGGCCCGTGGTTTTGCGGGGTTACCACTTCAGTGTATTAGGGTGGCAAGATTTTGGTGACCCTGGACTTTCGAGTAGATGCAAAGCCATTCGTTCGAGGACCTTGAATCTTCATCTTCGTACGGATGAGATTCTTAGGATCCCGCGTTCTGAATAGGGGCCGTAATGGTTCGAGGAGTCGTATCAGAGACGCTGAAGGATGAAACCATGTGGTGTAGAACCCCGGACACCAAAGGCTTGACCCTGACCCTCAAAATCTAAAACCCCACAACCGATGGAGTTCTTGCGCCATAACCCCTTGTCCGTCTCGCCGGAAGGAGTTCTTGACATTCGTCACACAGTTGAAACGAGGAGGAATGGAGGCTGGTTCTGAGCATTTGGGGAATTCAGAGGCCTGGGGGACTGCGCTTGGACCTGGGGCCGCATAACTTAAACCTGAACCTGGAGCCTTCAACACTAAACATCCTAAGCCGCTGCGACCCTCGTGACTCTTCTCCTCGCTGTCCGCCCGTGCGTCCGTCTGTCCGCCTGTCCGTCCGTCCGTCCGTCCGTCCGTCCGTCCGTCCGTCCGTCCGTCCGTCCGTCCGTCCGTCCGTCTGTCTGTCTGTCTGTCTGTCTGTCTGTGTCTCGCTCTCGCTCTCTCTCTCTGTCTCTCTGTCTCTGTCTCTCTCTCTCTCTCTCTCCCTCTCTCTCTCTCTCTCCTTTAACCCACGAAGTCCTCAGCTTTTGCCGTGGGCTACTTTCATTCGATCTTCTTGCTGGCTTGAGTTGAATGTAAGTGCTGCTTGTAGCTTGTCGTCACGCTCGTAGCCCTTGCGGCCCCAAAAAGCCCGAACCTCCAGTCGCGCAGTGTGCAGGCAAAGCGACGGCTTTGTTTCAGACTCTTCGATTCGAACCAGGATGGTTACGCAGAGAAGGCTGGGCTGGGCCCTACAACCCTGAACGCAGGGCTTAAACCCTAGGCACAACCTACTTGTTTGGGGCTCTTTACTATGATTTCTGCATGTAGGTTGTTGCAAAGGTGGAGTCCAAGGTGCACCCGCTCTGTTCTGGCTAAACAAATGGAGTAATTCAGCTCTGTATGCAGGATTTACAGTTTTGGAGGTGTCGCTCTCGAGTCTTTTCCGCTCGTGCGACGCACTGGGGGTTTATGTGAAGTTGTGTGTTAGCCACTCCAGCCTGCGATGGCGCTTACTTGAAGACGGGGTGCCAAGGCCAATGGGTTTCGGATGAAGTCCTCCACTGTTGCCAAAGACTGCCGAACCCTGAGAGGAATCAAACCGAGGGTCTTGCTTGCTTGCCGGCCACAGCTCACAAGAGTCGGCACTCTAACAGGAGCCAAAGGGCGAGGTCCCGAAGCCCTAAACATTGAACCTTGAGGCAAGTAAAGTTGCATCCTGCAGCCTGCTCAGAGCCTCGTCCCTGCATTTTCGCAACCGTCCCTCCTTCTCAGATGCAGTGTTTCAACAGTTTTTTAGACTTTTTGTTTTGTGATCACGACTCAAGTTTCTGGACAGAGTTGGATATGAGGCTTAGACTTAGGAGCAAGAGGTTTGCAGAGCAAGGCAGTTGAGGGCTGGGCGCTCTGAGACTGTCGTTTCCCCTCCAGGTTACAATCATCTTGGTCAGGTTGTCAACAAGAACTCATCGAAAATCGTTGCATACTGGTACAGCAAAGATGACTGACTGAAGGGTTCCGTCGTTAGCCTGAATGCGCAAGTGTTCCATTGTGATTGGCTGCCTACCCCAGCTTTAAAATGAGCCCTGGACATAGGAAACCTGCAATGTGTGGCTTTGCGGTTTGAGCATTGTTTCAGGTTCTTGGGGGTGTAGGTAATTATTTGGATATAGGAGTTAGAGAGTATTGAGTAGAGCTGGGCCCAAGCCCAAACTCATAATGTCCTGCTGTAGACTGTCGTTTTCTGGCTGACCTGACGGTAAAGCTTAGACTCTCAACCACCTGTGCGAATTAATCCTCAGTCCATGTTCCCATGAAGCCCGAAGTCGAATGCCTTGAATTCTGTAGCCCTTGAATCCCTCTGTTCAGGAACTCATTAATTTATCTTAGCATGATGGGTGTCTTTGGTGAATATTAGGGTGTCCTTCTCATGGTTGATTCCCGTAACAAGCACCAAACCTCTTGCTCTGAATCTTTCGTGTAAACCCCTGATTCACAACCCCCCCCCCCCTTCTTTCAGACTTTTCGGGGATCCGCATATATTAAGCAGTCTAGCTTATACACTCCGCCCTGGACTTCAAGCAAACCCAATCCCAAAACATTAGCTACCCGGGCCCACCTCAAGCCTATTTACATGGGGGTTAGGGCTGGAGGCTCTGGAATCGTCTTCGCAATTATTCGTCGCTCCTTGTTGGATTCTCTCGCCAAAGCCAAAGAGGTATTGATGCTTGTTTCATGAAAGTCTACATACTATATACTAACTTCCCTCCAATCAGATTCTATACCCTTCACAACATAGGCGCAGGGGAGATTGAAAATACCAAAGCCCAGCCGCAAGGGGGATTTCCGCGGCATCTTGGAAACAAAGATCGCAGCCCTGAGGCTTGGGAAGGTTCAACCGTGTAGGTTTGGGATTCAGCCCTGATCGTGGGAGAACTCCCGACACTCTTCGAACCTAACTGCAAGTAAAGCTGAACCCTAAACGCTGAACTAAACCGTACATCATCCTACCTGCCTTGGGACTTGGGATTTGACCATCGATGCCAGTTTGCTTAGCGGCTTCGCCTTCTCACCCCGACACATCGCTCCCAATAGCTGTCCACAGATCAATAGAAACGTTCGGCCAAACGTGTCCGCTTTGTTGAGAGTGATGATTAATGTTTCTGGTGCCCTTTAGCATGGAGGTCCTGGCTCATGCAGGCCACAATGGGGCTTCACACCCGGCCTTAATCCGTCTCCCCAACCCAAGCGGCTTGAATCTTCCACCCTGAACCACTGAACCACAAGCCTGGGCGAGAGAGCAACAAAGGAACGAAGCCCTGACATTCTGGGCCTACTGTTTGGTCAACGACATCGTGCTTCGTTCGAGTGCCCGAAGTGCAGGCGTCCCTCGTGGCAGACCACGTCAAGCGCCGGGAGCCCAGGACAAACTGTTTGGCCTTCGGGGCCGTTGGTCAAAAGGTGTGATCAAAGGTTTGTGTTTGAACTTTCACCAGGCTTAGGGCGTTCAATCAAGGAAGTTCAGCTGTTGTTGTCATGTGCTCTCAGACCAAGATTCGGTTTCTCCAAACAAGTTGACTCGCTTGCATCGAGTTAATCTCAGCATCCTCAACTGGGCTGATTTTGTTGGCTTTCGGATGTAAGAAAGCCAGAATCCTTCTTCAGCAATGCCGCTCAAGAAATTGTTCATGTTGCTCTATGACTCTATGAGTTTCTGTTCTGCGAGTGTCAGGCAGCAAGCGATGTAACAGAAAGGATGTCAAAAGCGTTTCTCATTTCATGTGTCCAGCTTTGTGCACTATGTTCGCGGTTCATAGGTCAAAATTGCAGAGATACAGGGATGCATGCCCGTTGACGCGGCTCACTTGCGTGCGCAGGTCGTGGTCTCCACATGCCTTGAAGTGTTTTTGCACTTCACGACGAGCTGAGAAAGTGAGTGCATTGGAGTCCGAGACAACGAAGGCTGCATTTGGACTTCGAGGCCAGAACGCCCTGAACCAAGGAACCCACACACGCGAGGTGCTTCTAGAGGCTGGGGATTCTGGGATTTCAACCCCCGAACGTCAAAAGGCCAAACCGCAGAGGCCTGAAGACGAACCTTGATCAACTAACTTACTAAACAATTGAGCCCCACTTTGTCCCGAGGTTGCAGCGGGCACAGACTCTGCTCCGGATGAGTGCGGATACCCGACATCCTGCCAAGACGTCTCACTTGGATCAACCTGGGTTCTCAAGTAGGGAACACTGGGCTACTTATTTGGGAACAAGGTATCTCAAGGGCTTAAGGCATAGGTTTTAAAGCATAGGCTTTAAGGTTTAAGCATGTAGGGTTCAGGTTGTGAGGCAAATTGGAGCGTCGCAATTAGTTTTCGAAGTTTGAGAGGCTGTGGCAATTTTTGGGAAAGCAGAGGGCATGCAAACTTTCGGCTTGGAATTAGCGTGTCGGGATTTGTCGAAAATTGGCCGTCCCAAGACATTGAGAAATCTCCTCCTGCAGCGGAGCCATGGTTGATACACAAGAACGGCCCAGCGAGGGCCCCGCGTGGTACCTGCAGCAAGACGTCCAAGTCGCCCTGCTCTGGCACCAGCTTAATGCTGTCTGCGCCCAGTTGGCACAGACCAATCAACAGCTTTATCTGCAACAGAACCTGATCCTCGGTCTGCAACAGCAGCGGCTCGAGGACCAGAAGCTGATCTCGAATCTTGTGGGCAAGCTGATGGAGCCTGAGTGCTGCAAAGCCAAGATGCCGGCAGAAGCATGTGCTGCCGAGGAGCCCCTGAGCCACAAAGATTGCTCGGACACAAGCACCGACACTAGGAGCCCTGGCAGCGACAGCGCAGAAAGACCCGATGCTGAGTGGATTCTCGTCGTCTTTGACGCATCGGAGGAGACCGTGGCAACGGAGGGCGCCGGCTCTCCCGTGTCAGAGGACACCGTGGCGCCTTCAACTCCTGCTGCGATGTGGCTAGGCCCAGACCTGTCGATTTGCCCCCAGCGCAGTGATAGCTGCGATGTGCCTGAGAGTGTCGCTGCAGAGTGCCAGGAAGCTCCATCCAAGGAGCCGCCAAGGAAAATTCGGATCAGCGAAGGCTTCGACAGCGACCCACAGGGCGGGAGAGGCGATGAGTCGCCCGCATCCGCGTCGGATGCCCAAGACGAAGGGGCACAGAGGCCGCGTGGTGATGTGCAGGCCTTGGCCGAGCGGATTCAGCCCCTTGGCATCGAGGGCCGACGGAGCTCAGAGACAGTGACCTGGTCGGCGCTGGGGAATGCACCCCCTCCGACCTCCATGTGGCAAACCTATTGCCGTACCTGGGCGTGCAGGACTTGCTGAGCTGGCGCCTGGTTTCGCGACGAACGAGAAGCCCGGAGGCCTTGACAGCACACCTGGCCGAGATGGGCAGCATGGACGGGCCAGCTGCAATTCTCGCTTTCGCAGAACAGTTAGAGCTATTCGGTGTCAACCCGAATGTGTCAAATGAGTCAGCCTTTGAAGGCGATGCCGAGCAGCAGAAGCTGTGTGAGTGTCGATTGTGGTGCCTGGCCCTGGCGTCGAAGACCTTCACCCACTTCAGCGAAAGCTACGTTCGCCGCGCGGTCGGCAAGAACCTGCAATATGTGCTGCGGCACTGCTGGAGTGCAGATTCCTCCACTGCTGCTGCCGCCCACCTTATTGCACACAATCACGCGAGTGATGCCCTCCCTTTCGTGGCGCAAATGATTGCAGACGGTATGCTCGCACGCATGGAAGAGTTGGTCAGGTCCAACATACGCGCCAACTTGAAACATGTAGATTCTTGCGCGAGAATACTTGAAAAGATATTGCGCTCGCTGAGCAAGCCTCAGTGTCAGAAGTGGGTGTCCCTAACGGTCAAGCTGCTGATGGGCCCTCACGTCACCGACAAAGACAAGGAAAGACTTGTCTGGCAGCTGAAGATGCTATGGTTGGTTGACGACGATCCCAAGCGCACCTATGCAGAAGCTGAACAGCAGCTTGTCGCCGTTTGCGACTTCGGTGAATTCAATAATGACCTGCTGAGCCTCCTGAACAGCAGCTGAGGTCCGCATCCAAAAGCATTTAGTTGGCAGTTGGCAGTACCGCTTTGCAACGATGACATTACGCAACAAGTACAGTCGAACAAGGCAGTCGTGGCACCAAGCCCATAGGAGGCCGAGCAACAATCACAGTGATATGTGTCCCCGCCCACAACCCGACAGTCTTGCAAGTTGTAGGTACATGCAGTTCTTCAACATCTGCGACGAGGACGCCGACGGCAGGATCAACTACGAGGACTTCTAACTCTCAAGTCATCAATCCGCAACCCCAAAACCCTAAAACCTAAAGCCCCCAGCGCCAAACCCCGAATCCTGACAATCTAAACCGTTAGCCCCTTCCGGAAGCCCTGGCATACATCCCGGCACTGGGTCTGGGCTTGAGTGTTTGGGGTTTGCTTTAGGTTCAGTTCGGGCGCGCAGATGCAGATATCATGTTCAGAGCTGGGAGGAGTGATATTGCCCTTGGGTCCGGGATTGAATTGCGATGTTCTAGCAGTGAGGTTTCAGGGTTCACCGTTTGAGATTTGGCCTAGTGTGATTCTAGCGCTACTCGGCTTCGGGTGCAGAAAGCTGTATGTATGCCGTTCTCTAAAGAAGCCACGTCCTAAGTCCGAAAGCCAATACCTTACACAACCGGGAGCTGCAGAGACAGAGCCCCGAAAGTATTGGGCGGGGGGGCAAGGACTTCGAGACGTATTGCGCCGTCCATGGCGAGTCCATCGTCCCCTGGCGTCAAGAAGTGGCGTAGAAAAATCAGCACCGCTGAGCGCGCCAAACTACAAAATACGAACAAGCTGATGAGCTATAGGAGAGCAAGCCCTGTATGTGCATTTAGTATTTTAGAATGCCTGTGTGTGTATGTATGTATGTATGTATGTATGTATGTATGTATGTATGTATGTATGTATGTACCTATGTATGCATGCATGCACGTATGCATGCGTGCCTGCATGTATGTCTGTGCGCAGCGGGAGACAGAGGGAGGGGAAGCAAAGAGAGAGGGAGACACACACACACAGAGCGAGACACCCAGTTCGTGGGGGCGTTTAGAGAGGGTTTGCAGCTGAGAGGATGGGATTCGGCGATGAAGACCCCGCACTGAACCGTAAGCCCGAACCCCTCAAAACTTCATCGAGCTTGCAGTGCCGATGCAACTCTACACTCGCGCATCGAAATGCAAAAGGTCTGCACTGCTATAACGACACTCCCTAAACGGTTCCGCAGGCTAAACTTTGCTTGCTTGGGAAGCTTGACAAAAACTGCTAAGTTTCTGTGATTGGGAGGCTTTGGACCCCAATAATAGCCTTCACTCGTAACCTCGAGATCGCAAGCCTTACAGCCCCAAGACGCTTCAACTCGAAGCACCTACTGACAGTTTTCTGTCTTACCGGGCGAAGCCTTCCGCCTAGGCGCACAGCACTCCAGGTCTGGAGGCCTAGGCCTACTTGGCTCCAAAGAGCCTCTACCTCTACGTTACAACTTTTTATAGATCGTGGGGCTTTGAAGGACTTGAGTCTTCAAGATGAACCTTGCATAGGGTTAAGCATTTTGTCTCCACTGCTGCCCACTTGACGTTTTTTTTTCAACCCCTAAAGAACGGCAGCCTTTCAAACCCCAAGCTCTGGCAAAAGTCTACGAGCAAACCCGAAACCCTTAACCCCGACACACCCGAAATCCGAAGCATTAAACACCCGAAAACCTCGAAAGCCGAAAGTGAGGTCAACCAGACTCTGAAGATCCTCGAGGTCATGTTTGACGGAGTTATCGAGGAACCTCAACACTCCCAGTCTACACCGCCTTGCTCGTTGTTGACAGGGCCATCGACGGGTTTTCGTCAGGAGTTCATAAGGATCTGATACATTGCTACGATGAAGAAGCCTTCCTTTTCAAGGAAGGGGAACCAGCCAGACTTACCAAGAGCCCGGTACCTCTAGTTTTGAGGCAACCAAGGGCCTCAACAGTGCTACCTGATGGGAGGGGATCGACTAGAGGCAACGGACCCTTTCAGCCGGCTTCGGAGTGTAGGCTTGAAGGATCCTATGAGAGAGTGCGGTGTGGTGTTTTTTGTGGTTTCAGGTTCGGAGTTGAAGGTTTAAGCTTTATGAGTCCTCAAACGTGTGCCGTCGGTCCTGCTTGGCTCTACTCGTGCTCGAAAAAGACTTGACGTCCCGCAAGGCACCCAGACCGAGTTTTTTTGGGTTACGGTTAGGCTTCAGTTTCGGGCTATGTATTCTAGCGTCTAGAGTCCTGAATACCTGTTCACAGTAATCCTTCGTATAGTTGTAGCATAAAGCTCCCAACCTGTATTACCGCTTGTATTACCTCAAGTCTTCGAAGCCTCCGAACACAAGGCACTTGAATCCAGTGCCCTAGGCATACATACTCCGAGACTCCGACAGCTACCAATCTCAACCCAGAACTCTAAGCGCCTGACCCCGAAACAGACATGTATGAAAGTGACCATCAGAGTGTAGCATTACAAGCCCCGAACACCTAAATCTAGCAACTACACCACTTCATGAACACTGCAAAACCATGAGTCGAGCCTCAACCCGGAACCCCAGGTGCGAACGGTGAAGACCTAGAGTCAAACTCGTGAATCCCAGACCCCTGGGGCGCCAGTTGCAGTTTACAGAGCTGACATGCCGTCACAGGAAGCCAAAAAAAAATGCGTAGCGAAAGGGGGAATTCACAAAGGATTTGGGGGCCCAGACGGTGTGATTTTGACATTTGTTCTCGTTCAGTATTGTCAGTGTTCATGCTGTTGTGATAGCTGCATCGCGGCTAAATTTTCTCGGCCTAGCCCACCATCTCAAGTCTCCTACATTCGGAACTTCCCAAACAAATGCGCCGTCCATGCTGTATATTTGGAAGGAGACAGGCATTATCATAACTGCTACGGACGTCCGAAATACGAAGCCCCACATCGACTGGCAGGACGGACGGGCATGGGTCGAGGGTTCAAGGGACTACATTCTTTGCCTTTAAGTGGTTTGTAATGGCTTCTGGTCGCCAGTGAGCTTCAGGAGTCGTCCGGTTTGGAGCTGAAGCTCTTCATCCTGAAACCGATCCCGAGATCCATAGAAAACTCTGCAACTCTTTCGGTGCATGCCATTTCTGTGCTTTTTCAGTGGGATTGATCACAAGCTGTCACTTAGGCTTGAGAACTGCTGTTCCTCCTACTTCTACGCTTACGCCAACCCCGACCGCGCCCACCGCCACTCCAACTCCTTACCACTGCCGCTGCTAGTGCTAACGCCCTGCTGCTGCTACCGCTTCAAGAGCTGTCAATATTCAGAACGATAAGCATTGGTCCACCAACTCAAGCTGGATGTGGAGCTGGGGCTGCAGTACATCTCCGGAACACCAAGCATCTGAATTGCAACAGCTCTTTCATTATCATTATCAATGTTGGTGCTTGAAAACTGACTCTCCCAACAGTATTGGCAGTAACGAAGATAATCACATAGATACATACATACACACAAACATACATGATGGTTGTTCTACAGGTCCGTGTCTACAGTTTCGACAAGCCCTCTCAAAGTGATAGGGTAAGTGATAGGGTTCAAAGGGTCCGCGAAAGATCTGATAAAGCAGGCGCGAAAGGAAAACACTTTTGCACGAAAGATGTGTCGACACACGATACCACACCACAAGATTCATTCATGTCTTGCTTGCAGCTGCCGGCTTACAAGTTTTTAGCTCGTGTGAGGTAGGTGGCTGTTAGGATGCCGCGAAACTACTCGAATGCCCACCGAGCCCTAACACCTGTCGCTTTTTCGTTGTGTCCATGGCACCTTGTAAGCCGTGAACCTTAAACCCTATGGAGAATGAGTTCCTGCATTTTTGCGTGATTTGAGTCCCCATGTAAGTACATGTGTGTATATGTTCTTTCTCATATATACACACTGTTTACATGCGGTGTTAGTATACATCTACACACGCATATACACACAGACATACATAATGTACGCCTGACACACACGTACATAAATACGTACATGAATACGTACATGCATACATACATACATACATACATACATACATACATACATACACACACAAGATGTATGTATGTATGTATGCATGCATGTATGTATGTAGGTATGTATATACGTATGTACGTGTGCCTGTATGCATGTATTCATCTATGCCTGCATGCATGCATGCGTGTATGGATGTATGGGTGTATGGATCTATGCATGTCTGTATGTAGTATATGTGCGGTATGTATGTTTGTATGTATCCGGGTTGTAAGTGCATACAGGTATGTAGGTATGTATGCATGTATGTATGTATGTATGTATGTATGTATGTATGTATGTATATATGTATGTATGTATGTATGTATGTATGTATGTATGTATGTATGTATGTACGTGTGTGATGTATAGCAATGTAATGTAATGAAATGTGAATTTTCTCTTATATAGATGTATATGTATACATGTGTATGATCCTAGTAGCTGTTCACATACTGATGCCAGGACCACCGGATGAACATGGGCTCCCTGTTCTGCTGCAGCTCTTCCAGCCCTGCCGCTGTTTTTGCAAAGAGCATAGGGGGAACTCGGGTTCACTTGGAAGACGAGAGAAAGGCTATAAGTACCTGAATTGAGCTTACGCGCAAATATGAAAAGCATCGTCACTCTGTCCTTAGTGCTAGTTATCAAGTCCTATGACCCTTTCAGTATGCAGTAGGGCGTACATGAACAGCCATGCTGACAACTTACGCGTCAGGGCTTTGCGCGCGCACACGCACACACGCGCGCGAAACAGAACAGTTCCATAGTGTTGGATTGTTTTGAGCCTCAGGGATCGGATGTAGGCATCTGGGAAATTTCGGTACGCTAGCATTTGGGGTGTATCTTTCAGTTCATCTAATGCCGAAAAGACCGAGAGAGATAAAGAGAGAGAGAGAGAGACCACAGTGTTGTACAACAGTGCTTAGTTTGTTCTTTCAGCGACTGCCTGGCTGCAGTTGAACGAAGTTGAGACAG